TTCATTCGGGCTTAGTTGGTTTTCCCTATCTAAAAGATTACAGTAATGTCTATAGTAATAGGCTAATAGGTAACTGCCCAGGCAGTTGCGAGACTCTTGGGCAAGAGCGAGAATGGTGGTACCCTATCCTCGTTACTATTTCCCCTGAAAATTCCTTTACTTAATGTAACATCATAATTTTAATATTTTTTGACGAGGGCAGTTTCGATACAGGTCATAATTACAGCTTTTATCCTGGCATTAGTTAAAACTGAACATAGAAACATTGTTTATTCTAACCTTAATAAGTAAAGGGAAAAAAATACCTTTCAATGGAATCAACTTTATCAACATAACAATAAAAAAAAAAAAAATAGGTGATGCAATTTCTATGTCCACGACTCTATATTCATTTCTTCAAAACAAATTCTCATCTATAAAAATAAAATGGTTAATATAAAACCGAAATACAATTATTGTTGAATATGAAAAGAACAGCAGAATAAGAAAACGTTTCAAAATAAAAACTCTAGAAACCAAGTCTATTTAAATACAACAAACAATTATATTTGTGGCAACCTCTGAATCTGTGTAAGATTTTGTGAAATTTTATGATAATTATAAAGCTATTTTTTCACTCATTTTTCGTGTCTTCTCCACTCCTTAGAACAAGTTATTTGCTGAGGGAGAGATGCTGGGATCTTCAGAGTCCTGCTTTTCCACTCAAGAGTGGGAGAAAAGGCTTGGCTAGGAGTTCTCCTGAATGAATGAATTTTGCGAATACTGTTTAAAAGTAAACCTGTATTTATGTTGTTGTTTCGATTATTTTAAGTTTCATTTTGTTCATAAGCATTTATTTTTAGTATTATTATTTTGCAGTTATTCTATTGAGTTTAATTTTTATTTTTACCAACGGTCCACTTTGAGAGAAATTACCTCGATAAGGCGGGTGAAGTGGAAAGGGAAAAGAAGAACACGTATGATAAATGTATCTCTTTCCTAAAAGAGAAATCCCTTGAGACCTTCGGAGAGAGAGAGTTCGCCGTGAGAGGCCTCTAGTTTGGGTCTCGCGGAACTATTCCAAAAAGAACAAGGAGCTTCCTCGAGGAACTAGGTGTCGACATTAAGGACGTAGCGAGGTTGGCTAAAAATATGGTCCTCGACTCCCTGGGAATCATTCATCACCACGTGCATGGCTAGGCTGAGTTTTCATTTATGTATTTATTTACTTGATGAAAAATGTCTATTATTTTTGTTTCACATTACATTTTATTTAATTCTAGATGTATACACTTTTGTTATTGTTCTATTATAATTTTAAGCATCTTAATATTGTGTATAGGACAGGTGTATAAAGAGGGATAGAGAGAAGTGAGAGGAAGGGAAATTAAATGTTAAAAAAATATATTTATGTATATATTTATTACACTAATATAAACCAACCACTTCTGTATATTTATATATAAGTTTATTTATTGTCCTACGGATTAACTAGTATGCTGTGTATATAGCAACCCGATATAATTGGGCAGCAACATTTTATATTTTATATGAGAATAATGTTTCTCTCTTATTTATTGTACTTATGGTGTGAATGAATTCGGGTATCATCATTTATTAATTCCTTAGTGACAAAATTCAATATTATTCAAAAAAGAAATGTCTATTTATCTATATTATGGGCTTAGTTATGCGGCTATTACAGAGCCTTTTTTTTCTGAAAATATGATTTTCGCACTTAACTCAACATGCTCAGATGCGGCAGATACGTCATATTATTAAATAACCTAAACAATCAATTTTACTTGTGTATGTTTCAGAAACGTGAAAGGTGTTTACCAATCCCTGTCTCCGCCACATTCTCTAGATCAGATGGACCGAACTACTTTCGAATCGATACCTTCGGTGCAGAAGCGGTAAGAGAACGATTGAACAAGACATAAGAAGGAAGTGATACTGGATTGGCCATTCACTCATAAAGGATCCTGGCACAGTGGAATGATTGATGCTCGATTGGAACCGCACCACCTGCAAAAGTGTCAGGAAGGACAAAGGCTCAAGGAGATGAAAAAGATGCATGGAAGTTGTTCGTTGAGGTTCTTTACTCCTCAGGGAGGTACAGCAGTCAAGTAAGTAAATAACCTAAAACTAGTAATTTCCACATACATGATATATGTGAATACATGATATAGGTTGATAAATTTAATATTCTAAGCCAGCCTGGAAGTAAAATCAGTAATTTAAAAATTAAATGATATAAAGCATTAAAATATGCTTTTTTTTTTATTTATCACATTTTGCTACTCAGTCTTGAACTGGATATTGTGTTATGTGGATAAAACTGTATAAAGAAAATAATATATTTAAGAACATTTTGCATGTAGAATTAACATAAAACATATTAAAATACACAAATAAAATATATACAAGCATATTATATGAAATCACACATTTCTTATTTTATAAAGTAAATTTTCCCCTTAAATTTTTAATGCATGCTTAAGACGAATATGAAATGTTCTAAATAACGTTTTTATGTTTGTTTTTATGAATATGTCCGAAGCCCAAATTAATCGGCAAAGCTCAAAACCGCACATTCTAATTAAATTGTACCTACAGGCTATTGCTGTGTGACTGTAGATATATTATCACTGTCAAATTATGAAATACAAAATAGAATCTAATTGGATGAATAATCAGGGAACATGATATAAAATGAGAGTTTTAGAAATAATTCATTATTCACATGTATATAATATTTATGAAACTTCAAAATTAATTAAATAATGTTAACATACGATAACTTCTATGGTAGAAGTGAATCATTTAATTTATTTGGACATATTTATTAATTAAATAGGTGTTATATAAATTGCACGTATTAATTAAATTATGATCGTTATGCACCCTTTAATAACTGACCCTAGTCGATATTTCCACACCGAAACTTGAACGAACTCACATGAATGCCAAATTATGTTTAATTATGCTATATTTAAAAAAAAAATATGATGTATACTATAAATAATTAGGGCAAAATACGTAATGGAAAATTCTTAAGTTCTTAATTATTTTAGAACTCAACGCAACCTGAAACATTTTACATATCTATGTGTATAACTAATTATATTAATCACTTATATTAATGACTAATTTCCTGTTGCTGCCATCAAACTCCACACTTCGTAGGATTGTGGGAGCTGGTGTAAAATCATGAAATTGATATTTAAAGTGATTATTGGCGAGTCACCTCTGAGCTTTGAGGATCAGTCGCCTTATTTTGTCACTTAAATGAGATTTACAGTTGTATGCTCTTAGCTTCGATAGAGTCTGACACCGAAAGCATCGATTGCTTGACACCAGCACACTGCAGTGCCGTGACAAGAGGAGATTCAATCAGCAGATGCAGTGAAGAAACCTACTAATTACACCACTTCATAAACCATAGCTAAGTTTTAATTCCCGACCTTTCAGAATTTTAATTCAGACCTTGAGAAAAGAAATTCAATTCATTAATCCTGGAACGATCAATACTATACTGCAACGATCAATCTATAATTAACGATCCTGTTAATTATAGATTTAAATTTGTTTTACAATTTTTTTTATTATAAATAATATATTATTATGGATAATTACCATCCATAATTATACAGAGGAATCCCGAGTAATGATTATCACAAAACCTAGCAACTTTAATATCATCCTTTTTGTGGGAATAAAACATAGCAATACATTTATATATTATGACCAAAAAAAGGATAAATAAAAAGTTTATAAAATAAGTTTTAATAAATATAATTTTCCATAGGATTTTTTTTATTTGTTGGGCGCCTGGCTTTATCAGCCTTTCGTCTCTAAAGAGATAAATTTAGAAAACATAAGGTACTTACTCATTATTTGGCCATCATTAAATATTTACTCTAGCTCAGGTGAGAAGGGGTAAGGTTGGATATATTAAAATACAAGGAAAAAGAGAGAATTTAAATATAATTACTATAAACAATTAAAGATAAATAGGAAGATATTTAAGATAATAAAGATGATAAAAATAACAAAAAAAGATACTTATTCTATATACAATAGTATTGCATGCCACATCTAAACATCTAAAAAAGATAGTCAAGATACAAGAGATATAAGATGTAAGAGCACATGCACATGCTAAAATATGAATTAATAATCTGGCACAGGAAACAAAAGAGAGAAGAGTTATCTTTGTTTTCAATGCTTCCTTAATCTTGGTTACAATACGTATGATACAAACAATAATGAATGTTACGACAGTAGGCAAGACACCAGGTGGAAAGCCAAAAAACAGATAGAAACATAACTGGAAAGAAATAGGCGGTAGAGATTAGCAGAAATGGAGAAGGCTGGTTAAGATGGAAAAAAATAATAAGTAATAATAACCAAAGAAAAAAAAATATGTATGATATCAAACATCATCGAAAACAACCAGTATTTGTTTTAGAGGTTCTAGAACGGACATAAAATACACCCACACCTACCTTTGAAAATATAGACAATCATTTTCGATCTGCGATAGACAATCATTTTCGAAAAAATATTCTACTAAAAATGGATGTTTTCATCATCCAGCTCAGAGATGTCGAATGACGAATGCTTTCCTCAGACAATGTTGAGGACAATTCAAATCCATTTTTTTAAATTTAGAATTACTGCGTTTTGTGTTATTAAACCTCGGATATAGATATAATAACAAGATTTGGAAACTGCAACCATGCTTGATAACTATATACAAACATTAGTAACTAACATCCACGGCAAGGGTTGGACGCTGACAATAAATTAAATCTCGGAAATTAAGCTGTCACCCGAAGACTGGACCCACCTACCATCCCTCAACCGACCAACGAAGGCACCGTCCCGAGGACAATGGCTATGATAGTCGTTAAGTTAGCTATTGATTTATACCAACAACATCCAGACCTTCCACTCGATCCTCTACATAATTTCCTCTTCAAAACGGTGCAGTATTAATCACGAGGTGACTAAACGCTACGTGGAGAACACAACTCTTTCAAAAAGTTTAACGTTAAAGTAAATAAAACAAATAGATAAAAGCATATGTTAAATCTACATCGTTACTATGGCACAAATACTTATAAACTAAGTATGATGTAATCTAAATTCTTGGGCACATAACAGAAGAAACAAAATTCATATAACTAAATATAAAAAGATTCTTGCTTTATGAAGACAATCTGTAAAACTGTTACTAGAAAAACTGATATCTTCTTGCAGGTAGGCACCGTCATTTTGTTTCTCTTGTTAATAGAGTTTAAATTAGTAGTTCCAAATCGAGCCTGTTGGACTCGGTTCCCTCCCCCCAATAGATAACACTTATTTATTTAAGTTATCAATAAAATGAATAGTGATGAAAACAGTTGTTTATAAAACTCAAAGACGGATTTAATTCGAGAACCACTTTGAAAAATATAGACTCGGAATATTATTGATCCGTTGCATTACTTAGTCTTAAAATCAGTCAAAATATGCAGGAAATTTATATTTAAGTTTTTGCAGAAAAATTCATACTGTTGGCATTGGGCCAAAAGGATATTTTTTTTGCTTCCTCGCTACCGAAGTTATGATATTTGTTAACTATCTTGATGTTTAATATTATTCGTACTCCGCACTCTACGTTTCAGACATCAAAGAAAATTTTGGTTTGGGTCTGGCACAATTGAACAGGCATTATACACACAATCGTTAATACAATTCTCATGAAAAGTTTAGTTTTTCCAGGTATACATACATACATACATACAAGGGCGCGACATCCAATCACCGAGACCGGGCCTCCTCTAAAAGTCTCCGCCATTATTAGATCGTTCGCTGGAGCTCTCCAGTTCTGGACTCAAAGAACGCCGCGTCTGCAGAGGTCGAGTCCATCCATCGCACGGTCGGTTGTCCATATCGCTGTTGATTTTCGAACTCAAATAGGTAAAACTGGTTATCTTCTGAAAACGGCATTTTTCAGCATCAAAATATCCAACTCCTGGTTCTCCTCCTCCAACCCGCATGTATTACGTCTTGGCCTCAGTTACAAATATATATAAAAATTTCCAGATATAAAGATGGTCCTTATATCTTATAACTACTTTCGCTTAGGCACACATAAATGTAATTATTCAGGCTTATATTGCAAAAATAAGTCTTTCAATCAAATTAAAAGGGAAGTTGGGGATTAGTAAAAAAAACATGCTGAATCAATTTTATCGAATTCAAACAAATATTACCTCTTTTATATGTAAGGTGAAGAATATAAATAAAACCATTTTGTTTAATAAATCTAATTATCAATTTGAAAATTAGCTTGTGAAGTTCTATCGAGGCAGAGGAAAGGATCAAGAAATAATTCGTGTTGGAAGTGCTGAGCTCTGCAAGTTCCTAGATAAAGCTCAGTTTGCGATACAGGGTACGGGTACTGGCCATAGGTCATTTGAGGATTACATTACGGTTGGAATGGAGTATTGGGTGGAGTTAGTTGAATTTGGATTGAATGGAGTTAGATCGCCAAAAGTCGGGATTTAAATAAATTGGAAAATTAGGAAGTGACCTATTAACCATTTTCCAATCATCTATTAACCATTTTTGAGTTGGGATGAAGTTATTTTATAGTTTTGAGAATTCAGATTTCGATGTCACCGCCGGATAGACAGATGCGAAGAGCAGCAGTTATATTTTTATTTTATTCTTTCTTTCCTTCCACACAATTTATAGATTTTTTTTTAATTTTTTTTTTTTGTGTGTCTGTAAAGTTGGGGCTCTTTTCTAGTTAAAACACACCAGTGACGTTATATTTTTTTTTTCCATGTGGTATGCACTGGAGAGAACCATCCGCAACCTCTTAACCTTCAGGAACTGAGAGCAGTAATGGCATATTTATGGAATGAAGTTCCTTGCAAAATTATAAACAGTATGCCCAGTAGTTGTAGAGAGTGACAAAAGAAATTACACAAATTATTAAATTTTACAGAATTTAAACAAATCACAATAAAAAAAAAATACAAGATCACAAAAATATATTATTTTCTTTTCTTTTTTAAAAATACCTTTGATAACACTTTTCGCGCCCAAATAACAATATCCCTATTTATTTTTGTGCATTTTACCAAAATCATAGATTCCCTAGAAAATGTTCAAACCGGTCAGAACAATATTTAGTACAAAGGATAATTTATATATGTAAAATAAACAATAGGAAGGGAAGGTAGGTAGTTGTTTATCCAACTCTGGCTAAATTTCCCCTACGTTCAGTGAATACACAACCGACGTGGGAATAATTATTTTAATAGCATTTTCAGCGAAATTCCCTCTCCTTTGTTCTGGTTAAAGTGGTAAATACATAGCGTTTTCCATGTACATATCATGAGCCGATGAATTAGTTTATCGAGAGCCAAGATATTTCAAGTCCTTATTTCATAATTTTATGCATGGATGAATTAAAAATAATTTTATCTGGGACATTTACATTACTCTAGCATGTGCGAGTATAAATAAAACAAATAAACAAGAAAAAATGGTACTAGCCAAATTAACTATTAGTTAATTACAAAAGTTGATGGAATAGGGGCTTTTTGAAGGAATTTGTGAACGAGGATCGATGTATGGTTTTAGTTAAGGATATTCAAAAGGAGGCAGCACGAATGAGAAGGATTTATAGAAGAGGAAGTGGTTTAATGGGAGGGGATATATAGATCTCTAGGTTGAAATCTGAAATTATGTGAGGGGATGGAGGAACGTAGTGTAATTATTTCTAGTATATAGTGAGAATTTTTGGTTTCCAGAACTTAGAAAAGAAAACACCAAGATGGAATTTCCGTCGGGAAATAGGACAAAGCCCTCCATGGGTCTCTTCAGTCTGTCTCCAGGCTTGCAGACTGCCCTCCATACACCAAGCAACCGTAGTCAAAGTGGAGGGAAACTAGAGAGGTTACAAGAAGCTGTCTTTTTTTTTTTTAGGAATAGAATCACGGAATCTTCTGAGTTGTTTAAGGATAGTTATGGATTTTCGGGTAATATTGGAAATATGGTTATTCCAGAAGAAATTCTGATGAAAGGTTACCCCTAGTTTTTTAGCTTTGGGGAGGAAATGGATGAGGTGGTTGTTGAGGTAAAGTAGAGGAGAGTAAGGAAGGGAGGTAATGAGATGTCTGGATTCGATGAGGATATTGAAAGAGAAAATGCCAGAATAAAAGTTAGTACACGGTGTACAACAAAATAAATTTTTGATATTTATTTCAAAATGTAGTTCATTGCCTAAAACTACTGTACTTGTTTTATTTATTTATCTGAGTGTTTTCACCACTCTGGTCATTTACGATTGGTTTGAATAACTTGAAAATCAGATCACACAATTTATATTCAGGACGCCTTCAAAATCATTATATTAGGTAAAAAAAAAAATCAGATTTATAAATGGAGTAATGGTATATCCAGACAGAATAGGAGGTCTCGAAAAAAACGCGTGAAGTATAAGCATAGGAAAGAGCTCCTCGTTCCATGCTAAAAGTAATCCAAATAGTCAACAATTTCTTCAATCGGTAATGTATTCAGGAGGGGAGATATGTTACAGTGAAGACTATTTGAAACAAGGACAAGATAAAATCACTTGGATCACAATAAAGGGCTTGGAAAAGGTATAAGCCCTTTTCGAGATAATGGAGCAAGGGTCGTAAGAGGGAGGTTATCAAGTTCCAAAACTATATCTTGTGGAGGGGAAAACAAATTTGTATTTAAATATTCCATACAACCTTTCGAATCTATAAACTTTAAATTTGTAGGCTAGAACCAACGTCAATAAAACTACCTTGGGTTTTACTGATCTTGGGCTAGTACATTATTTGCATGCACAACCTCGGCCAACCCGGTCCCTCATTCTTTGAAGTTAACAATGAATTATTTAAATACGTGTCATTAGAAAAGAGTAAGGGGTAGGAAAATATTCGAATATTATAAAAAATCGGACTAACCTAAGCTAAATTTGTAATAATACAATGTAAACGAAATATTGATGATAACGGCGCATTAATTACTATAATAAATAGGTGTAATTAGTAGACAGGACTAATTGTAGTGATTGAATGCCCATTAGCCAAAATAGGGAGTGCTCAATTATCGGATACTGGATCATAATAATATCCGTTTATATCCTTCCGTATTTCAAAAGAGAGATTAAATTCATTAAACGTAATAGCTCGTAACTGTTGCTTGAGCTTTTGAATGATTTGCCTCTTTTATGAGTGCGTTTTAATCAGAAAAAGTTTCTTTGAAATATTCCCTTCATCCAGTCAGCACATGCCTACAGAGGGAAGTCAGGTTCTTCTAGTTTAGGTTCTCATTTATTCTGCTTAATATCCAAGGATATTTTAATTAAAGAAAATATTATCAACTTGAAGAAAGGCGTTACAATTATAATACAATTTAGCTGATCTAGGACGGAACAAATAAATTTACTTGTTTTTGTTTAAAGATTAAAACCTAAGACATATCTCAGCTTATATGCAGAGATAATGAAATGATTGAAAAGTAAAAATCAAACTAAATTTTGTTCATTAATGCATTTATGTTTATTTTCTAAATTAAAATCTCTTTACAGCTCATGGAATAACTACAAAACTAGATAAACAATTAACTAACCAACAACGTTTTTTGATTGCAGTGATGTGAATTGAAGAACCTTCTTAAATAAATATGGAGAATATTTTCGAAGGTCAGCAATATATGCATAAAATATATATTGTATTTATACATTTCTTATAGTTTGTCGATAGGCCCTCGAAGCATTGTTTTAATTATTCACGTTTTACTTATGGACATAAACGACTACTTCTTTTCACTTTTCATACAGAGTTAGCATTGTTTCTGTCATTTATTTATTTGTTTATTGTAAAAATTCCTAGCTTTTAATTTTAATTACGTTCCTCGTGCCTAAAATGTCAATTGCCTTTACTATAACATCAATCTGCTAATTGTCAAGTATATGGCAGGTGGGAATAAAAATATGAAGAGAAAAAAAAAATTACGTCATTTACTGTTGAATTAATTGCTACTGAGATATAAATTTCATTTACTTTACATCAGTATTATATGTACATTTTTTCTTTTTATTTCTAATCAATATTTTAAAATATGGATTGTCCTATTTTTCTTTCACTTTTTCTCTAATTTTCTTCCTTTATTGCATATTAATTTAAATATGTTTAAATAACAGATGTGCTAGATAATAGGCTACTAAAAAAAAGTAGTTTTAATTTTTTATTATTATTATTTTTTTTTTTTTTTTAAATTTCTTTATTGAGTATTATAACAATCTGTCTGTTGGACATTGGTTATAGTGAGGTAAGATGACATTCACACCATATGTACAAAAAAAAAAAAAAATAAATAGAACAAAATAATAATCAAAAGTATATACAATAGACAATAAAATAAAATAACCTAAAAAATAAGAAAATTAAAACTAAGAAAAAAAAAAAAAAAACACATGCATACCTATATACAATCAGGCGAGGGAACTCCAGGAGAACCCTGCGCTACTCTCCCAACCGCGTCACTGGTACTGAAGCCAGCGGAGAAGTTTTTTTTTTTTTTTTTTTTTTTTTTAAGATTAAAACTTTTTGCCTACCTATTTGTAATTTTTTTTCCTTAGTGAATATTTTTGTATTATTACTTCTGTTTATAGTATTGATAATTTAATTTTTTTTTTATTTATTCAATGTAATAGATCATTTGCATAGAAATATTCTCTGTAGGCTCCCGGATTAAACGATGGGATGTTGCTCAGATAGGCAGAGATGGAGTGGACTTGTTAAGGCGGAAATATATCTACAAGTTCTGTAATGCCAACAGAAAAAAAGTTAATTAGTTATTATTAGTTATCATTATTAAAATTGCTTCAAAAATAAAAATAAAATATTAAATCTACAAAATTTTCTATAGTATATATTATTACTAAATAAAGTTTATAATATCAAGGAAAAACATTTTATCTTAACCCTTATGCATTTTTTCTCCCTTTCATTGGTCCAAGACTTCCACTTATTAAGTGCAAGATAGTGTCCGACAAAGGTGAATCCTATTCTCGGAGAAAGTTGACACGAGACGAAGAACAAGAACAACGTTGTTATCCATATTATTTTTTAAATAGACAAAAATAATAAAATATATGAATATGGTGAATGGACACCGAAAGGTTCTCTACTAATAAAATTTTAAAATAAAATAGAGACTGTCAATAATAAAAAAAATCCTGAACTTAAATGTTGTTAATTTTAAAACAGATAATAAAGTGATTGGGTAACATTATGTAGATATAATAAATAAATTAGTATTTTAAATAAAACATTTAAAATAATTATTTTTAGTTAAATTATTATTAATAACAAGAAACTCGCAGTGGGCATGAGACTTCTGTTTTAAGTAGGACGAAAATGTTTTAATATTGGAGTATTTTTCATACAATTTTTATTTTTGACTGTCCACAGGTAACTATATAATAAAATGTTAATGTAATGATATTTTGTAGGCCTTTTTTTACTTGTAATATTTTTGTGTTTGTTTTTTTAGAATTGGCTGTTCATAAATAATTTATGAATTGTGTAATATTAAGGATTGATTTCGAAGAAATAATTGTTTACATTAATGAAATAAAATTATGATTTTGATGGATCATATAATCATGTTGTTAGTAAAGATATCGTTCATTGATTTGATATTTTGGATTTCCGTTTTATTGTTTTGATGTGCTATTATATTTTTTTAAATATATATTAAAATTATTGTGACTTATATTATAGATATAATTTTTGACTAGTAAATAGGTAAAATTCCCCGAAACGTCGTCGAGATGTTGAAATGAATTGCAGCATTAATTAAATGTATAATGTGTATTAAAATAATTGTTATTCCCCGATATTATAAACTTTATTTTTTTTTAAATAGTGTAATTTAGCTACATTAAAAAATTATAAATGCGGCATGTGAATATGACATACCATATTTCTTATTAAATGCTACTATTTCACCATTCGTGCGAGATCAACAAAATAAAGGAAAACTAAAAAAAAAAAAAAGAAAACAAAAAGGGAAATACTTCTTTTTTAAGTGTTAACTCTAACTTAAACTATGTAAAAAAGAAAATTAATTTTTAAAACGACTTCCCTCTTATACAAACCACAAACCAACAAACAGAGAATTGCATAATTTTTGACATACTATTTACTTATTAGAGGAACGGGGTAGCTCAGTGGTAGGGCACTAAGCTTCCGGTGCTCATGGTTCCTGGTTCGAATCCCGGCTCATGGCAGAAAAAATTATTTTTTTCTCTTTCATTGCCCGAGGGGCGACCCTGGGGTAGTGGGACCCTCCAGAGGCACACCCAGCCTCTATAAAGTGGATACCCTTAATTAAATAACCCCTCCCTGCACAACCGTAGGCCTTGAAACAGTACTTTCCAAAAATAGTATTGGGCCCAAGACTCTTTATAAGTTGTAGTGGTACAGTTTTTTATTTACTTATTATTATTCTTACATATTATATACTTTAAATTAACTTTTTGAAAACAAGGATAAATCTATGTTAATTTTTATAATTTAATTTAACAGAAGACAGCGATCAAGAAAATTTTCAAAATATCAATGCTCCTGAAGAAATAAACTTCCAAGGATTTCCGATGATCGAATCAGGTAAGATATATCTTATTTATCGAAATCTTTAATGGATGAAATACTAAACTGTAATAGATTTCGTTGATTTCATCAATCTTATAATATTTAATCGTTTCTGGTCTACTTTTTGAGTTAACTTGATGCAGCTAATACAGATTATCTTCAATTATGGCATAACGCTTTTCAGCATGTGAATGAGGGATTACACTTGTTGTAGAATATGGGATGATGGGCCAGAATCATCTTGTTTATCACTCCTTTTTTCAGTCCCTATATCCTTTCAGTAATTAATTCTTTACTTCCAATACCCTTCCCGCACCGCTCATAATGAATACATTGAAATTTATATATTCGCCGGAATTCATATCTATTTAACTTAATGAAAAAAGAACGACAAATTAAATAGCGCAGCACACAAAAGTATATTGATATTATGATAAATGTCAAAAATTACATGAAAATAAATATATATATATATATTTTTTTTTTTCAGTTATAGTCTATTAATCTAATTGGCGCTACAACCCGGGTTGGGTCTTGGCCTCCTCTAGTAGCTCCCGCCATCCAGCTCGATCCAGCACGCTTCCAGGTAGCTGTTCCTAGAAGTGTTCTGGAGTCAGCCGTCACGCTGTCCATCCATCTTAGTCTGGGTCCTCCTGATGGTGTCAATCCTGTCCTCAAGGACTCTTTCGGGTATATCATCCTCCTCTATCCGAATCCACATGGCCGGCCAAACTTATTCTTCCAAGTTTATAAAGTCGACGACATTTAATTTATCATGCTCAGTGTAATCAGTTGACTTGTTGAGATATTGCAATGTATTACCTGTCAACGGATAGAGTGCCCGATAACGATTCTTGAGGGACAAAAGTATAAAAGCCATTTAGTAAACTATTTCTTGTCCAAAACAGGAAGTTTTTTTATATTTCTTTTTTATATTGGATTTATATTAAAACCCCAGAATAAAATATCCCTTAAACCGAAACCATCGATTTCTTTGTTATTGTGTGGTGTTATTTATGCACATATCTCCAGTATTACAAAATTACAAATTCATAACATTCACTCAAAGCTATAGTTTTTTGTTTAGTGGCGTGTAGAAATTAATGCACAATTTTTTCTATTTGTTTAGATCCTTATATTATTTTTTGCTAATAAGTAATAATAAGAAAATATTATTTTTTCGTAACAACTGGGCATAAGAATAAACGTTTTACAGTCAAAGTGACAAGGATTTGAAGTTCTATGCCCGTGCATTTAAAAAAAAATGCATAAGATGTCATAAGATATTTCAATAATATCATCTAATCTGCGTTTACCATCTTAGGTTTACTATTTTAGTGTTTCCAGTGCCTTCTAGATAAAGATCTATTCCTTATAAATGATCAAAAAAACCTTTGTCTTGGGGCTTTATAAACAGGGGTGCTTTATTACTCTCAAAACATTGGTTGTCATAAAATCATAATTTTAATTAGCATGATCAATCAAGTAAATTTTTTTCTTAGACTAGCCGTTAAAAATATAGTCCAATTCTCTCACTAAATTCCTTTTCTAACTATACATACTAGAACTTATAACAGTTTTCTATTCAGGTGAACGTTGGTGAATGAAGTAGAGATTATGAATGTCTAAAATAATCGAAAATTGGATAAAAAAAGCATCGTTGTATAAATTCTTTATTTCGCTAAAAGGTTAAATAGTAAACAAAATTACCACATGCCTAAAGTAAAAGACAGAACTACCTAACTTATCATCAAAATATGAAAGAGTTGAAAAGGAATTACTTCGTTAATTTTTTAATTACTGAATCGGTATTGCCATCGGACTATTTTTGTGGGTTTTTATTTTGTTTATTAAAATCTGATCCATCATTTGTAGACTTTGATTGTGTACTGTATTTTATTTAGTTGGATCCGGCGCAATTCTCCCGTTCAGATTTTCCGGAAAATCGGGTGAGCCCTTTTACGAAAATGAATGTTGTTTATAACGATTGAATTTTCCTTTGAATTCGTGATTTTATTTTTTTCGATTTAAAGAATTTTATTTTAGGCGTGTAGTATATTTTTTTTTTTAATAAAAATTCAAGGTTCTTAGAAAAAAATTCGATACATAGAGATTTTAGATGAATGGAAGTTCAATATACAGAAGTTCGACGTAGCATCATTCAACCGAGTGAAACTGAAAGGTAATGATTATTTTGAATAGGCTGCAGATCAGTTCAGTTTTCATTCGTTGGGAACTCTTTAACAAACCTTTGTCAATCGTCAATCGCCTGTTTTTTGTTTGCCTTCTCTTTTTTCTGAATGCTGAATTTTCATCTGTTCAGAGTAAATTAGGATCGTTCATCACCTGTTGGACCATGGAAATATACTGCATTGTTCTCTGTGTTTGTTTTGCCAACGTCCAACCGTATTTGTAAACCTCATTAAAAACATCATGTGTTTAATTTTTCTTTTCTTTTCTTTTCTTTTTTTTTACGAATTTTCTTTCAAAATGAAACTTCAAAAGGGCGAAATATTTCTGTAATCAAAAAATTAAATAATTGTTTTCGTATTTGTAAATTTCGATAAACACGAACAAATACAAATTAAAAATTTAATACATAATACCTAATTTAATAAAATTGACAGTACTCTTTCAGTATGTTTATCGATTATAGAATTGTAATGCCATCTAAAAAAAACATTACCCCGAACGTGTAAGAATATTTCATGTAAAAACTGCATTGAGGTATTTTAAGCATGATTTTCATTAAAACGAAATTTATTCAATTCCTGTTAAGATTGTTTTACTCGCAACCACATTAAATTTTAATGAACGTCGGTATAAATATTGTATTATCGTTGCTGTCTACATGAAAATGCAACTAATGAAATTTTGAAACATTTTATTTTTTTATTTATAACAGCGTGACCAACGCCAATTACTCAAGACAAATTTTACGAACCAGAATTATTTAATTTATTGTGCATGTGAATTCTAAATAAACTTAAAGTGTTTCGCTATATTTAAATTAGATTAATACTTAATCTATGATTTTGGTTGTATTTCACGCCTTTTCCTCTTTTAATGCAGAATTCGTGGCGCAACAACTCATGCAGAGTCAAGGCCTCTTGCAGCTTGGAACGCTAGCCTTCTCTTTTAGTTATTTTTCTCTAGTTGTGGATTTCCAAGAAGGTACTCATATCTTTCTCCATCAAAACATCTGAGCTGGGGTCTTCCCACTCATCTTGCCCTTAAATCCTTTAATCTATGATTCAAGAGATAATATGATGACTCAATACATATGAAATCAAGGAAGTAGAACAAATACATTTCGACGAGATAAGTGTACGCCTATTTCAAATGACTTTACAGGAAACTAGTCAACTTGCATGAAAGGTTATAAGATCATGAGTTTAATTTCTACTGAAGCTAGAAGGAAAACGAGAGGAACAAATGACAATAGGGCTGATCTTTCACACCACAAAATGTAAACTAATTTCTAGGAAAGAGAAAGATGTGCATTTCTTTTGTAATAGCGAGGAACTAGAAGTTGTGGACGAATTCCCATATTTAGGTACAGCCGTTAGCAACAATGCTAGCCACGATAGACAAAGAAGTGTTAAACAGAATTGCAAAAGCAAAATTAAATCTTCTAACAAATATGCAACACAGCAGTAGGTCCAATTACGTTAAGGTCCACATCCTTAAAGCTGTCTATCTGCCGACTCAGATAAATGTCTCTGAGAGTTTAAAAAGACTAGACTGACTGGATTGCGATTGAATTGAAATATCGCCGAATGACTGGCAAAAGACAATAAGAGACCGCATCAGGAACAAGACAATAAGGGAGCAGTTGGTCATATCCTGATTGGAAACCACATCCTATAGAAGACAGCTAAAGTGGTTCTAACATCTATGCATGATGAACCAGAACCGAGAACCAAGAAAAGCTCGTTCGACTGACAAAAGACCCAGGATATCATACGACGAATATATCACAAGGCTGGCCATCGAGAAAGGATTTAAAACCATCAGAGTACAGAAGATGTCGCAATACCTTGATAACTGGTTTTGGTGGATAGAGGTTCCTCTACGCCGAGAAGCAAAAAAGAAAAAAAACAACAATAATTTATCTATACATATACAAGTATCAGCTGCCCCTAATGTTATGGTTTTGTACCAAGCAATTGTGCCTAATTTTCTCGTTGCTGCGAGTGATTAGGGCAGATCAGATAAGATCTAAAAGATGAAATTTAATCCGTACCAGCGAAGAGCAGCATTCACCCCATTCCATCACCTACCCAGAGATAACAACTCCACAGAGGGCGCCCTCATGTAATAAGATGTCTAAGCCAGCATAACCCGGTAAGTCGATTTGCACAATACATTTAACCTACCAGTTCATCAAAATACAGTCCACTGAATAAATAAGTCGAATGTTACCAATTTTGAACTCATGAGAATCATTTGCCTTTATCAAATTCCAATTTGGAAAGATGCCTAAACAGTTATTATTGACAGACTAACGAGTTTTTCACATTAACCAGGTTCTCTTGCTCGAGTGTTGATATGAAGGAGAGTAAAGAAATTTTTTTTTCATCAAATAAGGTATTAAATTCAGTACTTTACTTCACTTCATATAGCGACCAATGCCAGGTATTGGCATTTTTTTGTTTTCTCGATTCCACGTACTTCGCCATTTCTGGTATAGGAGAGGTATAAGAAACCTATTGTAACATGAGTGTGAAGGTCAAGATTCATTCCGGAGGTCTACCAAGAAATAAATTTCAATCCGTCCAGACCGTATTCGAACCGGCTAGACTTGAAGTTTACATTGAATAGACTTGAAGCTTTAACATGCCCGGCCATCATGACCTCTCCGTTATATACGGCTTGAAATTGGTTATAGAGACTAAAGTGGTTAAAACCAATATGCTTTTATAACGGCTTATATATTATATATATATATATATATATATATATATATATATATATATATATGCATATGTATATATATGCATTTATGTATCTACACACACACACATATGCATCGGAGAAAAAATAATACTTTTAATTGTTATATCCAATTTTACATCAGTCGCTAAATAAAGTAATAACTGGAATCAATAGACGCGAGTTGGGAAGGACAGAGGTTGGTTAGTTGGCCTTGCCAACAGATGGTGCTGATGTCGACAAAGCTAGACACCGCAGCCTACCCCAACAAACCATCCGCTGGCCCCACCGCTACCTGTTGGCAATAATCGGCGATACAATAGCGACCCCGAATATCCAATATAGTCATATACAGAAATAAAATTATATTTTTGAATAAAAATATTTTTTATTTTATTATTCAGTCAATAATAAATTAGTTATAATGAATAGCACAGTAGTTATAATAACTAACAAACAATGAAAACTTGCCCTACAAGGTTTCAATATTTGTTATGATAAAGCAATTCAGGTTCATTGTTATTAGCGTCCTTTAAAACTCTTAAATACGATTTTGTTTTGAAATAAATAGTTATAAATTCGATGACATGATTTTATGAGTATTTTTTATAAATTTTAATGTTACTACAACCATTTGAAAGCAGAATTATAGCTCTTCCAAACCATATCAATAACTTATAGATTTTAAGCCTTTAAGAGTAATAAATTAAGAAACACAACTAGAAACCTATGATTTTATATTTTATAATATCTAGAACTAATTTATTTTCACAAGTCTGGATTTTGCCATATCGGGTAGTTTATAGCACCGTAAATCCCTGATAATTTTCGTGGGTATAGGAGAAGTCATTTGAAGTTATCATAATTTCTGAAGACTCCAAAGGCCATAAAATAATCTCTCTAAACAGGGGGCATATAAATATGTCACTGTTTTTAATTAATTGTTATTTATTTATATTAATGTAAGAATTTTCAATTATTTATTTTTGAAAATCGAAACATGTTAGCATCTTTGGGAATGTTATATTTGTTAATTTTAGACAGTGCCGACCTTAGAGATTCGGCGCCACCGGTCAATGACGTCATCTCTCCCCTCCCCCCACTAAATTTAATTTATTTCTTAAATTGTTTAAATTTACGTATAATTTGAATTTTATTTCATTCTACTTTGCTCTTATACAGTTGCTTTATTGATTGGCTAAAATTAGTTATTTTAATAGGTTTTGTTTTGTTTTTCAAAAAGTGGCGAGCGCCCAGGAAGCTCCATCCTAATGCCAGCTTAGTTGGGCCTGCTTCATAAGAATATTTTCTATTCACTTTTATAAGTATTAGATCTAAGACAATAAACCTATCTTTACGCCTAAATCTTCTAGTCTATAATAGTATAATACGGCCGGCTTTGCTGTATTGTGCACCTCTGTTTGAACATATCAGCAAAACTACGGAGAAAAGATTACAATATTTCCAAAATGGAATAATTAGAAAAATTGTAAGAGGATGATGCAGTGAAAGAAGATAGTTGATATATAAGCAACACTAAATTTATCAACAATAAAAGAATTTTTCGCAAAACGAAAAAAATCATTTTTCGAAAAATCTCAGCAATTGGCAAATACTCTTTTGTTTTGTTTGTTACCAGCCAAAATTCCAAAACGTTGGCAACAAATCACATGAAATCGATGTTTTATTTACAGCAAGAAAGACGAAGCCGGAAAAATGTTAACACTGTTGCATTCCTTGTATGAAAAGCATATCTTGGATTTAGAAGATTTTACTAGAAAGGTAAAGAAATGAAGAACCATTTATTTATTTTTTTCAAAAATCTATTTAAGTTATTCACTATGGCATTCTTTATATACCATCACAATCAGGCCAACATTTCGGATTTTGTTTTCCTATTTTCAATACCGTAATTTTTCTTTTCAAAACTTATACAATTTATGATAATAATATCATAAAATGGGAATTATCGAAAAATCGATAATAATAATCGAAAATGGGAATTTTCAAGGTTTGAAGTTTACTAAATGAAATGTCACAGATAAATATAAAGTTTTTCCATTAATTAATTTCTTATGTTTCCGAACACTTCACTATCATTTCATTCCTTAAAGTTTTACGTTTCTAATTAAATAGTAAACTAATGTCACAAAGGAATTGGGAACGCATACGTTTTCTCAAGAATAAAGAATAATTTTATAATAACAATAGTCTTCCTTCTACTCAAATACCAAACATTTTTTATTGGAATTGAAACAATCCAAAACTGAAAAAGAAATACTTTTACAAAGTTCATAATACGATGCGCCACATAAGATACGTTTAAAACAAGTAACGCCTAAGATAAGATTCTAATCTGCTTTTACACAGAGAGTGGATGGGGCGGCATTGGGTTTCAGTAGAAAATCCAATTTTTATTTCTGAACTATTAAAGGGATAGTGTCCTATAAATCCCTGATAATTTTCGTGGGTATAGGAGAAGTCATTTGAAGTTATCATAATTTCTGAAGACTCCAAAGGCCATAAAATAATCTCTCTAAACAGGGGGCATATAAATATGTCACTGTTTTTAATTAATTGTTATTTATTTATATTAATGTAAGAATTTTTAATTATTTATTTTTGAAAATCGAAACATGTTAGCATCTTTGGGAATGTTATATTTGTTAATTTTAGACAGTGCCGACCTTAGAGATTCGGCGCCACCGGTCAATGACGTCATCTCTCCCCTCCCCCCACTAAATTTAATTTATTTCTTAAATTGTTTAAATTTTCGTATAATTTGAATTTTATTTCATTCTACTTTGCTCTTATACAGTTGCTTTATTGATTGGCTAAAATTAGTTATTTCAATAGGTTTTGTTTTGTTTTTCAAAAAGTGGCGAGCGCCCAG